TGCTCCCGGCCACCGCAGCCTCGACCCGCTGGGCTCCGGCGATCCTTCCAGTAGCCAGAACTACAGGCGTGCGCTACCACGCCCGGCTCATTTTTGATTTATTGTAGAGATGAGGCCTCGCTGCCCAGACGGGTCTCGAACCCGCGGGCTCAGGCAATCCACTCACCTCAGCCTCCCAAGGCGCGGGATTACAGGCTGAGCCACCGAGCCCGGCTGGGTTCTAAATTTTATTCCCTGCCACGCTTCCAGAGTCTACACAGGCACTCGCCTGTCATAGGTGATGGGGAGGTGCGTGTGGAATGAGTGAATGGAAGGAATGAATGAATGAACAGCTGATTTTCTAGGGCATCAGAGAAGAGAGGACCAGGGAGGGCTGGAGTCATGTGAACAGGCTTCGGGGAAGCCTCAGCTGCTGGAGGGCACAGGGGAGCCAGGGTGACCCCACCATGCCCACGCACGTCACGAGCCTCCCCGGGAACGTGCGGTCTGAGTGAACGCAGGCCTTCTGCTATGCATGTGCAACTTGTAGGCAAGACCACGGTCCATGCCACGCCCGGCCTCCCGTGAGCATCCTGGGGCATCTGAAGGCATCACGGCCAGCTCGCTGGGTGTGTGGTTTTATTTCATGTTTTCGTTGCTTTATTTTTTGATCAGGCTCTCACTTCTCCCCAGGCTGGAGTGTGGTGGCACCATTACGGCTCGCCATCGCCTTGAACAATCCTCCAGTCTCAGCCTCCCGAGTAGCTGGGACGACAGGCACACACCACAACACCCAATTAATTTTTTAAAAAATCTTTTTTGTAGAGATGAGGTCTCACTATGTTGCCCAGGCTGGTCTGGAACTCCTGGGCTTCAGGCCATCCTCCCGCCTCGGCCTCCCGAAGTCCTGGGATTACAGGCGGGAGCCACCGAGCCTGGCCTGGGTGTGCGGTTTTTAAAGCAGCAGAGTGAGGAGCTGGTATCAGCATTTAGGAAGATTATTCTGACGTCTGTGGCCAGATGGAAGGCTCGGAGAGCGGCAGCAGTTGGGAGTCGGGAGGCTGGGGAAGAGTTTGGGGCACTCGTTCAGCAGGTGGTGCCAGGCCCGGGCGTGGACGTGGAGACGGAGGGAGAGGTCTGACGTGGGCAGTTTCGAGGAGCACGGCTGGCTTGGCTTGGGAAGTCAAGCCGCGAGAAGTGAGAAGCGGCTCCAGCGTCCTTCACTGCACGAACAGCCACGCGCGACACGCGGCCAGCTCTCATGCGGCCAGTCTCTGCACTGAGACGGGGATGCCGTCCACGGGCGACTGTGAGATGGGGAGCCATCGTAGCGTGACCCCTCTTCATGCAGGCAATGGCGTGAGCCTGTGGGAGGGGGTTTAAATGTGCAGAGGACAAAGTCTGGGAGGACGCTCACCAGTGTGTTCGCAAGGGTCGGCCACCGGCGGTGGGATGATGGGTGAGTCATTATCTTTCCTTACCTCATTTCTTTTTTTTGAGTCGGAGTCTCACTCTGTCGCCCAGACTGGAGTGCAGTGGCCGCTCCCGGCCACCGCAGCCTTGACCCACTGGGCGCAGGCGATCCTTCCACCTCAGCCCTCCAAGTAACCAGAACTACAGGTTCGCACCACCATGCCCGGCTAAGTTTTTGATTTACTGTAGAGACGAGGTCTCGCCAAGTTGCCCAGACTGATCTCGAACCCCCGGGCTCAGGCAATCCTCTCGCCTCGGCCTCCCAAAGTGCTGGAATGACAGGCGTGAGCCTTCCACACCCAGCCTTCCTTACCTAATTTCTAACTTACAATCCAGACACAAATTGCTCCCAAAGTAGGAAAAAACCAGTAACAAATAAAATCCAGCAAGTCAAAGCAGCACCCCGTCCCTCACACTCTCTGGGACACCACATGGTCACCCCAGAAGAGAGATTCTGACACCATCCGTGCTCCCCCGGCACGACCGCTGGGGCCAACTGTTTCTGCTTCTGTCTCCTGGGCCATCGGGCCAGGAACGCCGGATAATGGCCAGGGAAAAGGGAGGGGACCGGAGGGAGGGAAGGGGGCTGGGAGCAGAGGCTCTCCTCTTTCACCAGTACGGTTCTGGGCACACGGGAGCCCAACCGGAAGGGGGCTGGAGCCTTGAGCTGGGGCTGCAGCACGGGGCGTCTGGGGGCGCCGGCCCAGCCCCACTTTTCGGGGAGTGCCCAGAGCCACCCGGAAAGGCCCCCGAGGACGGGGTCTGCAGGGGAGGTCAGTCCCCGGGCCACATCCCCCGGGGCCGCAGGGGACTTACAGAGCTCGTGGGTCCCGGGGTAGTCGCTGAACTCCAGCACGTAGAGGTGTCTGCCCTGGACGCTGCGCCCCGCGCTGTAGACCCGCGTGATGTGGGGACACTCGTTGTGCACCTTGTACAGCGTCCGCACCAGGTCGTCGTAGCGGTGGTGGCGGAAGGTCACCGGGGCCCCCGGGGCCAAGACCAGGAGGAGGCGGAGGAGGAC